AACTTCAAAAAAAAAAAAAAAGGAAAGGAAAGGAGAATACTCCCTTCGTCTTTTAATAATATGGTAAGAGAACTTAACTTGAAAGATGTGTGGAGAGAATTAAATCCAAATAAAAAAACAATATACTTTTTTTCGAACCCCCACCACTCTTGGTCCAGAATAGATCAGATATGGATGAACCCTGGGTTAATGGAAAATATTGAAAGGATCAAGATTTTGCCAAATCTATGGGCTGACCATAATCCCATTCAAATTAAATGGAAAGGAAAGAGAAAAATTGGAAGATGGACATTTAACAATACCATATTAAGAGATAAAGAATATGTTGAAATGATAAAGAAAGAATTGAACGTATTTTTTGAAATAAACAAAAGAGAACATACCTCTCTACAGAATCTTTGGGATACGGCCAAAGTCTATGTGAGAGGTCTAACTATTGCTTTCAATATTAAAAAGAATAAAGAAAAAAGACGTCAACAAAACATACGGAGGGAGAAACTGAAAGATTTGGAAACAAGTAGACAAAAGGACCCAAACAATTCAAACATTAAGTAAGAAATAGATCTGGTAAAACATAAGATAAATCTAACTGTACAGGAAGATCTGGCATGAAAAATTAAATTAGCAAAACAAAATTATTTTGAAAATGAAAATAAGCTGGGGAGGTGGTTAGCCCATAAAATTAAAAAAGAACAAGAAAAGAGAATGATTGCAGCTCTCCAAGATCAGGAAGGGAAATTATGCATGCAGACCCAAGAAAAGAAAGAAATTGCTAAGGAGTTTTTTATGAAATTGTATAAACAAGAAGAAATACCAGAAGAATCTATTGATCAATATTTGAATGAAAAGAACTTGCTCAAAATTACTGATGAAGAGAAACAAATTTTGAATAATAAAATATCTATAGAAGAAATTAGGAAGGCAATTGGAACACAAAAAGCAAATAAGACCCCTGGCCCAGATGTAATTCCTTCGGAATTCTATAAGCAATTCCAAGAAACAATAGAAGGAGATATTGGTGGACTTGTACAATGAAGCCCTGGAGAATGCTAACATGCCTAAATCATGGATGGAAGCATGTATTACCCTTATTTATAAAGAACTATCAGACCAACAAAAAATTCAAAACTATAGACCAATATCACTTTTAAATGTAGATTACAAAATAATGGCTACAATATTGGCAGAAAGATTAAAGAGAGTATTAAGTAGAATTATGCACACTGATCAGAATGGCTTCCTCCCCCATAGGCAAATAAAAACAAATACAAGAACCATTATGGATATATTAGAATATTATGAAGTATACTCAACCAAGACAATGGCACTGATATTTTTAGACGCCCAGAAGGCATTTGACAACCTGAATTGGAACTTCCTTATTAAACAACTGATAGGCATGAAATTTGGTGAAAATTTTATAGAATTTATTAAGACAATTTATAAAATGCAAACCGCAAAAATATTAATAAATGGGAAAAATACAGATACCATAAAGATAAATAAGGGAGTAAGACAAGGCAGCCCCCTAGCTCCTCTATTGTATATATTGGCAGAAGAGACTCTCTTAGTACAAATTAGGCAAAAACAAGAGATTAGAGGACTAAAATTGGTCTGTGGCCACAAGGTCAAAGTTGTGGGCATCTGGCAGCCTGTCCAGTTTTATGACTGCAGAAGTGCTGAACATAAAACTTGCCCATCTCCCTGTCAACTATGAAGCTGGTCTGACTGAGGCCATCTTTGAGGCTTCAGTGTTGCCACAATGGAGATGAGAGTTAGGGAAGGGGGAATAGAGATAGCTGTGGGGATTTGTAGCAAAACAATATAGCTTCCTCTGGGAATCAAGGACATTCTCACATGTGGCTGGAAAGAGGAATGAAGTTACCAAGCAACCAGACAGAGCAGTGATTGGACCATGTGACTGATTGTTTGGGAAAGGGGGGAAAACTTTTACTTTTAATTAGGTGAAAACCGTGGGAATCGTTAGAGTTGGTTTTTACTAGTCTGTGCCAATATGATATATCCCATAAAAACTGTTCTTTAAGGAATCTACCTGCCACGGAGTTCAGTTTTCTATGGGTGTGTTACTTGGAGCCCTGATATTAAACCAACTCTCCACTGTGGCAACACTGAAGCCTCAAAGATACTCCCACCAACTGTGCCCTTTTGGTCCCCTGCTACCCACTGCTCTGCCACTCCAGCTCTCCTTCATTGTATTCGTGCTTCTACTTCTGACAAGATGTACCCAGCCGGACTGCTGGGCCAGGCTGCAATTGACTTTGCACTGTGGGAAAAAGTCAAAAGTCCCAGAACTGTTCCAAAGAGTGAATGAGTGACGCTGGGGCTGGCTTAATGCTGTCAAAAAAAAAAAAAAAAAAAAGGCGGGGGGGAGTACAGGGGCTTGTGCTTCAGGGTGGTGCGGGAAACTAGGACTGACCTGGGGCGGCTTCCCAAGGCATGACGAGCTGCCGCAGATCTGCAACGTTCTGGAGCTGCTTGAGAGCTTACCTTGCACGGCTGGGTACGTCTTGCTTTATGGTTGCATCACTTCATGACAGAAATTCGAGTCCCGGTTGTAAGTCAAGGACTACTTGTAAAGCAACTCTTCATGAGATTCTGAATTAAAAGCAGCTTGGAAGGAACATTTATTAAGTTTTATACAAATCAAAAAATATATTATGTTTTTCAGGCTTAGATCTTTGTACTGCATGCAATTTATGCTCTCGTCTCCTATTTATCATGTGGGCTAAGATCCCAAGTATATTTCCATCCCTATATGGTATGATTGATTCCCTGTCCCAAAATGGTGAAGAATTTATTCTTTTCTATCTTTGACAATAACATCCTTTTAACATTCTTTCTGAGATGCAGAACTATTTTACGCTATACATATTTTTAAATCAATGTCTACATTTATTTTTTCCTTAGGAATGCATGTGTGGATCCAAAAGCCACCCACATGCTTTCTTTTCATACTTAGCATATATGCACTTTCACAGCCTCTCCCACAGAACAGAATCAAAGAAAAAACAGACCTTTCTTAACACTTGAAGCTGTTTTCTGTCCCTCAGGAATTGCTCAAGGATTTGTTCCTTTGTCTCTTTTTAAAATACATATTTAAAATTACATCCAGCCTTATTAACAGATAGTCTGTTGAGCTGATCCCTCAAATTAAAGTCATGATATAAAAAGAATATAGAAATAAAGTAAGTTCTATATTATAGGAGAACATGATGAAGATCGCCATTTTTTTCCTGGAAGGATATAGGTTTTATACAATAAATCTTTGTAATCTTGTTTTTAAAAATGTGATAATGGACTTTACTGTTCATGGGCAGGAACTAAAATAATTTGGCATTGTATCCAGAAGATAGAAGAAACATATTGTTCATATTCTCCACCTAAATAAAATAGATTACTTATTTTGAAAATAATATACAATTCTATTCCTGAATAAATCCAATAGTAAACCAAATGTACGCTAAACAAAGCCAATGTTTCATAGCATGTGAATAATAACTCCATCATTATTCATAAAATATTTTGTATTGTTGGTGAAATAACAGGCAGAATCAACCTTAAAAATAATAATGTACATTAAATTATATTTGATAGCCTTTTCTGTATTTTCCTCTACTAGTATCTGATAGTAAAAACTAAAATCACACAATGAAATTAATAGAAAGTTTCCTACTTCATTTTAGCTTAAAGATAAGACTTAATGATTCAGTAATATTGTGGAATGAAAAGTAATATATTTTGGTTATCAAGCAGACGGAGGCAATGACAAATAGTTATTTAAAACATCTAAATACTAAGCATTAAAATGATTCAGCTGTTGCATATCTATGTTTTGAAAACTTGCATCTTGTATTTTAAAGAAAATTATATGTGTATAGAGGCAGAAGTTTATTCATTCTGAATATGGATGGTTCAGATGACCACATGTTGCCCAATTTGATCTTGGTAACCTTTTAAATTCTTGCCTCTGAAATGTAATACATATTCTCATGACTGTCCAATTATGATAAAAGATTGGCTATTGTTTCCTCTGTTCCCATGGTTTTTTGGGGGGTAGGGGTAGGTGGGGGAAGGTATCTACTCAGATGATTAAGGAAGGGTATGGTTACTGAGTGATTGCTAAGTGCTTCAGGAAATATGGAAGTTCAGGATTCAGAGAGCAATATAGCAAGTAAGTGTTTCTTTTGGAATCAGCTGATGGAAATAGATCATGAGTTCATGTCTTATATTTTAAAAAATTCTTATACTATAGTTTGTATATGAAATTAGACTGTATATGAAATTAGTTTGTGTGCACACACACACATACATACTAGCTTGATACCTGTGCTTTGCTACAAAACTATGTGATCGGGCTTAGTTTTGGGGGAGGAAAATAAGGAAATTTTTTTTGCCTCTGCCTACCAGCCTCCATTGGTGATTCAGTATTCATCTGGCTAGTGTCCTATCATTGTGTGAGAGAGTTGAGGGCTGTTTGGAAACTGAAACAGTATTTGCTGTGTGAGCAAGGAGACAGCAAGGAGCCTGGGTGTGGCTTAGCTCAACTGTTCTGTACTAAAGCTGCTTGGTGCTGTGAAACTAAAACTAAAATTCCTCTCCTCTGCTTGTGTTTTGCATTTGGAACATATTTTTTTTCAGGTGGGGAGGAGGAGTAGAATTCCTTAACATCAGAGCATATTAATAATAATATAGGAAATACTAATTCTCTGATGGTCATTTCAAAAAAACCTTTCTTAGTGAGCACCTAGAAAAAGGTACATACATGCCAAATTTCAAGTTTGTAGGCTTTATTGTTCTGGAGATTTTGTGATGATGCGTGAATGCTTTTTCACTTTTATATATATAGATATATACATTTTATGTTGCTCATTCCATGTTTTATCAGCATCAACAATCTATATTTATTTTCTGAACTCTCCTTATAGATTACTTTTATGTACTTTATTTTAAGAGTAATGATCGATTTCCTGAATTTATAGGTTGCAATAAAATCCATCCGTAAGGACAAAATTAAGGATGAACAAGATATGGTTCACATCAGACGGGAGATTGAGATTATGTCATCTCTCAGCCATCCTCATATCATCACCATATATGAAGGTTAGTGACATCATTTATATTGTTTAAGTTTTCTTAAAATCAGTTTAAATACAAGCAGATTTTTTCTACAATAGCTAGTTTTCGAATGTATCTCTTTGGATGACATGGTTAAGGTATGTTCATGAACAAAGCATCACAGATCTTTGACATAGAGGCACTTGTTAAAATATTTGTACCATTGGAGATTAGTTTCTCTAGGAACTTCAGGCCAAGAAACTACAACAAAATCTAGATGCATACTGTATATTCAAGCAGCAGTTTCCTTCTTCATTGAAGCTTCAAAAAAGAATTCCTCTCCAGTGTATCAAAGCCATGTAACAACAGTGTCACCACCATAGAAATCACATAGAATTAAACTTCCAGCCATTGTTTTTCTCAGGGGGGTTCATTGATAGGTGTACAGTCACTTCTACATTCTCCATATGTGTAGGAAAATCCAGTAGTATTGTGACATTGCTCCATGCTGAATGAACTTGGATGGTTCTCAGAACTGAGAATCTATGGAGGAGAGAATTCTGCAGACATAGGAAAAATAAATGAAGACCATATACGAGGAAAGATTTTATTTAAGATCCTTTTAATCTGAGTCCAGTTTGGATCAAACTTTCAGCTGTTATGACAATAGTATAAACATTATCATCCCAGAGTAGGCGGTTGGAGCAAACCCATATGGACCTTCTAAATTGATCTTGGTTCTGCAGACATCTATTTAGCAGATGAGATTTAGAAAGTAGTGTCTTACAATAGTATATATTGTATTAATTCTCTCCAGATGCTTTGCTGAGTCTTTTTATTTTCATATTTGCTTAGTAGTGTCCATTACTTTAGATTAAAATGTGTTCTTTTGGAAGTAATTTTTTCCTAAGCTGCCATCCATGTCATTCACACTTGTGCTATTGTAAAGAACTATAAACCAATATAAAACATAAAACAATTTTTAAGTCCAACCTTGAAAAGCCCACCTAGTTGTTTCCAGTTTATTTAATTTAAACCAGTGTAAACTGGGCAAGGGTGCTATACAGAGGTGGTATTCAGCGGTTCTGACAAGTTCTGGAGAACCGATAGCGGAAATTTTGAGAAGTTTGGAGAACCGGCAAATCCCACGTCTGACTGGCTCCGCCCCCATCTATTGTCTGTCTCCCAAGTCCCTGCTGATGGGCTGGGTCTTTTTTTGTTGCCCTGCACATGAGAATGGAACTGGAAAGCAGGTTAGTGGGGTGGGGAGGGAATGGGATTTTGCAGTAATCTTCACCCAGGAGTGGGGAGGGAATAAAGATTTCCCCTGCGACGCCTACCAAGCCATGCCATGCCCACCAAGCCACACCCACAGAACCGGTAGTAAAAAAATTTGAATCCCACCACTGATGCTATAAGGTGGTTGCTTACTACATTTGTAACTGGCATGTGCCTGATTAGATGACTTTGATGAATACCAAACTCTGATTCAATTTCTCACTCTTGCAAATTTTTAGTCATTGACATCTTGTTGTGTCATTTAAATAAGCCATACATGCCATGGGGCCTACATTGGTAACATGGTTTAAATATTTCGATGATCAGGCTATAGTACAAATAAAGGAAGTCCATAAAGAGCTGGCTGTTCTTGGGCTATAGTGGTTGGAGCCCCCTGTGTTGAATGTTAGATGAAATGTTTAGAATATTCACCGCCTTGTTCTTTTTCTCTTTTTTTCTGCTCTGATTTGAGTTTTTTGTGTCTTGTTTTGTATTTTAACTTTTTGTACTGTAAGCCATCCAAATTGTTTGGAGTTGAGTGGCACACAACTAAAACAAATAAATAGCTATTCATCTGATTCTAAGTTGCAAAGGCAACTAATTAAATTGCAAAGGCAATATTGATTGTAATTACAAGAGCACATCTTACTTTTATATTCACAGATATTAAAGTAATTAAGGATAGAGGCATGTTCATGATTCACTAATTTGAAGAGTAGTTTTGAGTTCTTGATTTATATGGGGCTAACTAACATCTAACTAACTTGTGAAGTAAGATGGTTAGAGAGTATTCCAGCCAAAATAACATGCTGGATCTCCCAAGTTTAGTCTGCCATGGGTTTCCAGAGAAAAAGCTAACACAATTCGGATTGTATAAACAGAGGCACAGAATCAAGATCACGTGAAATATCTGTACCGCTTTATAGTAAGAGCACACCAGGAATACTGCAACCAATTTTGGTCACCCTACTACAAAAAAGACTCAAAAACTCTAGAAAGAGCACAGAGAAGAGCAACAAAGATGATTAGGGGATTGAAGGCTAAAACATAAGAATGACTGCATGAACTGGGTATGTCTGGTCTAATGAAAAGAAGGACTAGAGGAGACATGATAGCAGTGTTCCAATATCTCAGGGACTGCCACAAAGAAGAGGGAGTCAAGTTATTCTCCAAAGCAGCAGAAGGCAGGACAAGAAACAATGGTTGGAAACTAATCAAGGAGAGAAGCAACTTAGAACTAAGGAGAAATTTCCTGACAGAACAATTAATCAGTGGAACAGCTTGTCTTCAGAAATCATGGGCACTCCATCACTCGAGGTTTTTAAGAAGGAACTAGACAGTCACTGAAGACAACATTGCCTTCAGACTGCCCTTAACCCATAAGAAGGCAACCTCCACCTGAATTTTTGTCTACCTTTTGAGGTAGGCCAGGTCAGGAAACAGACATCACATCTATCATTGGAACTCTACTTCATTGTTACTGGATATAATGCATAATCTTCAAAGGCTTGATAAAGATTCCATCTTTTTTTTTTTACTAAGTAGAATCAAGACATCTATTTGGCTATGCTGATGTTTACAGTTCTTTTAAATTTCTCCTTAATTCAATATGGAATAGGGAAAAGAAAGCTGGTATATTTTGGAGATTCCATAGCGGTGTTTCTTGTTATCTATTCCCACAGAAAATGTTGGGAAGGAATTATATTTTAATCTACTGTTAGAGCTTTAGTTGCTGACCTATTAATTGAATCAGTTAAAACTCATAGGATTAATGGAAATCCAATTCCAACTGCTTGAATCACATACTAAAATATTTAAAAGGGTTTTTGTTTGTTGGAAGAATGTCTGACTTTTTTTCAGCTAAGTAAATTTTTAATAGATCTTAGAAATAGAGAAAGGGAAATAGCTGTGTCATCATGAGGAAAACAAATGAACCAAATATTCTTCCAGAATTCTGTTTAGCGCAAATCTGTATCTTGCTTAATGCTATTCATTAAAATAATTACATTACATAATAGCCCTTTCTAAAGTAGAATCAGGCAAACTTGAAGCTGTATTTCTGGGGCTGTCTGTAGACCGAAAGATAAATGAAAACAAAGAAACATTTGTATGAAAATCCATCCATTAACAATTCCAGTATACTGTAGCAAAATATTGCTTACATGGTGAATATATCTTACGATAGCATTACATTTTGCAAATAATCTTCAATTGTCATGTTGGAGTCTCTTCTTTAAAAAAGAAATCAAAATTTATAACTAGAAACATTGACATATATATTATTGAATGGTTATTGTAAACTGCTTTCAGATTTTCTATAAGGTGGTGCTATAGAAATAATGTGCAAATAATAATGCACTTAAATAATTAAGTGCCCTTTTTTCTTCTGTAACACACTAAATACATTAATGATGAATAAATACCGGTGGGAGGAAGAAAGTAGAAAACGAAAAAGAAGTAAGAAGTAAGGGAGAAAGATAAGGGAGAAGAAAAACTAACATCTGGCAAAACCTCCCCCCCCGCCTCAAATAATAAAACCTATATTGGAGTTGAAGGTTCTGCATCTGGAAAAAATGAAGACTACTGGCTAATGAATGCATTGAGTATGAGCTGGAGGACCTTTAATAATATCAGGATTCCAAACATGTGCTTTCTTTAAACAGAATCCATGTTTTTGAATCTTTTAACCTTGTGTGGTTAATGGTGATTCACTTCTGCATTTATCAACTTAGCATCAAGACAAACTAGCCATTTTCACTTGTAGCTAAATCCACATGTATATAAAAAGGATTTCTTTTTTCAGAATTCTTTTTGGAACTTGATTAAAACAAATGTGTATCTTGTATTACTGGTAAGAAGCAGGCTCACCATTCATAATCAGAAGAAATTCCATCTTCTTCTCAGGATTGTAATTGGCAGCCTTTTGACGGCAGCTGGAAGGAAAGTACTTTCAAGTAATTTTTAAGGATTGGATGGATTAAGCTGGCTTCTCCAGAAGTGTTTTGATTATCATGGCATACATTTCAACTTAAAAAAAAAAAAGCCCTTACTTTTCTTTTAACTTTCTCCTCCCTCCCATGTCCTGTATTCAATAACTAGATGAACAGAAACATCATGCTATGGAATAAAAAAAAGTAGAAAAATTACCCATCTGGCAATACTTCATATACTTATAGAATTTGAAGAAAAAATAATATATAGTTCCTTACTCATGTGGAACACAAAAGTGATATTAACTAAGGTGTTAGTAGATGGATCATTTCAAAAATCATTTATTTATTCCTTCATTCATTTATTCATTTGTTCAATAGAGTCATAGCCCACTTTTTATTTTGAATCCCAAAGTGTTGCATATAGTGCACTCTCTTCTTTTTCCCCCCACAACAGTAACCCACCAAAATAGGTTGGGCCACAGAAATGCCTGACACAAAGTGAATCAACTACTATGGCTGATGTCAGTGAAGATTATCAGTCACCCAGGTAGAGTTGTCTGGAAGTTGCATTATGGCAACTTGACTTCTTGTTGTTTTGTTGCTTATCCAAGTAGCTTCTTCAGTATGGACAAGTTGGTTATGGGAACCCCATATATGTCCTTCAGAAGAGTTTCATTTCTCACCTAATCTGGATAGGCTCATTAGGTGAGTAAGCAGAGAGTCATTGGGATGTAAATATTCTAACTCCTAAATCATTTGCCCTAGGTGGCTTGTTAAGCGTGGCCACCTTGGTGAACCTGTGAACTGGTCTTAATCTTCCTGGGGACTGAAAGA